CCCCAGGAGAGACCAAAGACACTCTGCAGAGACTGTGTCGCAGCTGGTCTGGGGACACCTTGGAGTCCTCCCAGATAATCTGGAGGAGGTGGGTGTAACACAGAGGTCTGGACCTGTCTGATCCACCTGCTGCCCACAAGACCTGACCCTGGAACAGGATGGATGGATGGATGGATGAACAGATGGATGGATGGATGCTGCAGGTGTTGACAGAAGACATCAGATGGAACAATCAAACGTGTCTCTGATGTTTTGTCAGATCATGAATCTTTCTTCTTCTCCTGCTCCTCAGATCCCAACATGTCCAAACTTGGTGAGAGCTTTATTAAAAAGGGAGCCTCGATCCGTCGAAGCCTCAGGTTTGGTTCTAAGAAGGAGAACGAGAAAACCAACAGGCCGGAGGTTCTGCTAACAACGTCTGAAGGTTTGGTGGAGAAGATGGAGGAGGAGGTGGAGGAGGAACTAGAGGAGATGGAGGAGGTGTATAATCTACCAGACATCCCTCACACTCCTCTGTCAGGTACGGACCTGTCTGCATGTTTTTACTGCTTCATTCCTGCTGCTCTTCTTCAACTGAACTGATGTGAATCAGAGCTTCATTCATCACAATCATTTATCAACCATGAGCAACCTGATAAAACTCTTTTCACTGCAGACTCTTTGAAACGTCAGAACAGGTTCAGGTTCAGCTGCTTTGTGTGTGAAAGCTTCTGAGGTTGTGCATGCAGGTTATAGTTGTCATTAATGCCATTCAGCTGTGCTTTTTAAAACAAATCTGCTGTTCAAACAGAAAAACATTAAAACTGCATTTTATTTATATCAGAATATTACAAGTTTTGAGTCAGATTTGTTCTGTCTTAGGATGTATACAAAAAAGATTCACCAGTAGGCGTCTTATAGAAAGAATTATGTCACTTCCTGCTCCGTCCAATGGCCATGCCCCCTTTTTGGACCAAAACAAAAAGTGTCAGAGTGATGGTGACAAATTGGAAATAATAACTGTCATATTTTAGATGTTCCACATTGGATTTAAATTTTAAAAGACCAACAACTTCATTATTTTAAGTTACCAGTTTTTACCCAAAAAGAGGAGGAGTTTGTTTACGTCCAAAAAGGAGGAGGAGCTTCACTTCGAGGCATGTGACAAATAGAAAGTTTTCTCACATTTATTGTTACATGAAAGGAAAGAAAATTCTATCCCAGCATTAACAAAAATAAAACACTTGCTCTGCTGTGTGTTTAGACATAAATGAATTATTAGGATGCTGTGTACTTTTTAAAATCTGGAGTTTTGTTGAAAGAAAAATCCTTTGAAGCAGTTGTTTTATTTAGAGGTTGTAACCGTGTCCTCTGTCCTCAACCTGGTTTCATGACGTCTCAAACTGTCTGTACTAAAAACTCTTTATTTCTTTATCTTTGTTTTTGCAACAAAAGCAGCCAAAGATCTGAATCTTGTTTCTGCTGTAAACACACAACATTCACAGCTACATAACACTAGTTAGCTAAAGTTTACAGTGGAGGAGATGCTGGTTTAACTAAAAATTAAAACTAACTGCTCACTGGAAGAAAGTATACAACAGTATAAAATTGTGCATTTTCTACTAAAATAAAGAGCATGCTAAAAAACATTAGATGGATGCAAAAATTATCAAACAAAATGTAAAATGACTAAAAACAGCTAAGAGCTAAAAACCACCAGAATAGTAGATAAAAGACCAACAGAAAATAGCTAAAAGCTCAAATTTGTCAAACATAGCTAAAGCTAAGACCAACAGTTCAGTAGCATAAAAGCTATAATTAGCAGAGCAAAAGCTAAGAGCTAAAACCACCAGAACAGTAGAAGCTAAGACCAACAGCTCAGTAGCATAAAAGCTAAAATTAACAGAGCAAAAGCTAAAAGCTAAGAGCTAAAACCACCAGAAGAGTATATAAAAGACCAACAGAAAATAGCTAAAGCTCAAATTTGTCAAACATTAACTAAAGCTAAGACCAGCAGATCAGTAGCATAAAAGCTATAATTAGCAGAACCAAAGCTAAGAGCTAAAGCCAGCAGAAGGGCAGAGATCAGCAGAGGGTCACAGGGTGGGACTGGTCCTGACTGCTCTGTCTCCTCTCAGTGATGCAGATCAACAAGCTGATAGAGATGGAGGTTCTGGAGGAGGCTCACCTGAACCTTCTGGCCTTGAGGCTGGAGTTTCAGAAGGAGCAGGACCGGTTTGACCAGGACTGTCCCATGGAGCTCTCAAAGAAAGAGAAAGACCTGAACCTGCTCTACATGGACCTACGGACCAAGATCGGAACCATCGTTCGAGACTCAAACTCCCTGCCCGCCAGGAACAAACCTCTGCTGGTCTTCGTGGCCCGGATCATCCAGGAGGAGGAAAAGAGGTCCGCAGAACCCGGAGGACTTCCTGACAGCTGGATGGAGGCCTGGAGGGAGGCGGTGTGTGAGGGGGTCCAGGTGAAGGTGAACAGTGTTCACCTGGAGCACAGGGACAAGAACCCCTCGTGGTTAGCAGTCCACCTGGGTCTGCTGGGGAACGCCATCGTGGAGGATTTGCAGAAYGTGAAGAGGGACCTCCGGTGGTCCTACCCCCCCAGCTTCAGGGTCTTCAGCTCCTACGTGAGGAGCTACCACCGAGTTGTCAGGCAGCACCTGAAGAAGCTGGAGCCACAGGTGACGGATCTGAAGGACCTGTTCGCCCTGCTGGACTGGATCCTCAACAAGTACAAGAGGTCAGGTCTTTGCTTCATCCAGACTTTTACTTATTAAGGTCCGATGACTTTAACCTCTTCAGCCCCAAGGGGGGTTCTTCATGTTTTTGCTCAAAATCCCATGCTGAAATGTAACTGAGTGTATCTCAGCATTTACAAACTCTACTTAAATAATCCATATCTATATATCTATATATCTACATATCTACAGCGGGTAAAATAAGTATTGAACACGTCACCATTTTTCTCAGTAAATATATTACTAGAGGTACTAATGACATGAAATTTTCACCAGATGTTGGTAACAACCCAAGTGATCCATACATACAAAGAAATCAAACCATAAATGTCCAGAAATGAAGTTATTTGAATAATGTGGAATGGCACAGGGAAAAAGTACTGAACACACTTATTGAAATTTATCTAATACTTTGTAGAAAAGCCTTTGTTGT